ACTTAACCTCTGGGAGCGTCTGTGGGCATTTGCAGTTATGGGGCATTTTGAGCAAGGCTGGGTGGTGCTGGCGTTTGTTTTGTTTCAGGGTTCACTACTCTAATCCAGGGTCTCACATGTCCAGTCCTCTTGTACCTGCTTCTGTCCAGCCTGGAGTGATCTGTCACTCACAGTTCTCCCGGGCAAACTCTTTCCTCTAAGAGTTCCCGTCAAATGGTCCTACTCCTGACCTCTAGGCAGAGTTAGGGCCCTTCTTTGTTCATATTCACTCACACATTCACTTATTCACCAGTTAAGGTTTTTTTTTTTTTTTTCATTGCCCATGAAGAACTTGGGAAACACTCTACCACTGAACTACAGCCCCAGCCCCCCCACAGCTCATAGACCACCAGGGGAGAGGTTTAAGGAGACAGCTAATTGAACCTGCTCAGTCCTAGGGATGAGGGGGTGTGCATCAAGGAAATGAATGAATGAATGAATGAATGAATGAATGAGTGAATGAATAGTTGAATGTCTTCTTCCCAAATGGCTTCTTAAACAACAAGCAGCTTCTCAAGCAAAGTAACTTAAGGTCAAAGAGTTTGCGTTTAGCACACCATGTAATCTAAGGAGGCAGAGACAAGAGGATAACTGAAAATAAGAGGCCAGCATATGTATGCTTCATGGTGAATTTCAGGATCACCAAGACTTTACATAGGGGCACAGTGTCTCAAAAAACAAAACACAAACCAAAATTGCCAAACTACTTTATTTACCTTTTGGGTTTGTCTGTTGTCTCCGAGTCACAAGGATCCCCAAAGAGACCAGGGAGACAGACCACCGATGTAAATGCACAAGGTTTATTAAACTGTCCATCCTACCTTGGGAGGGACCCGGTCTAGCAAACTGACACAGCAGCATCCACAGGGGGTGAAGTTCCCTGTCTACTGCTAGATTTTAAAGACAAAAGATACAGGATTACATCATGATTGGTTGACATTTGGGAACAATCAGGAGAATTTCTCAAAGTCATATTTTGGCATGAAATACCGGTGTATCAGGTATTTTCATTGGTCAATGCTGAGAGGGAACATTCTGTGGTTTCTATGGCTTTGTCTTGTTACTTGCAGGTGGCCTGTTGTACATAGATAACAATAGTTTTTAGAACTGTATCCTGGAAACTATAGGGGCTCTTTTGGTCTCCCCTGGAGTTTCTTTTGTGGCCAAACAGTTTTCAGGAACCAAGTACCTAGGAGGCTGAGGGGGGGGGTCTGGAGATTCTTTGTGTTCAGTTTTGGCCCTAGGCTCTGGGAGACCAGAGGATTAGGAGTTACCCTGTGTCAGAGGCCTATGTGTCTTTTCTGTAGCCTGTCATGGCTGCTAACGCAGGGGCTGAGTAAGGGTCTGGTCTCTTTATTTCTGAATTATTAGAAGTGAAGCCTTTTAGTTTACTTTACCCCTTTCATGTCCTTTACCAAATTGAAGGTCATTCTTTAACCTTTCCAAGCCATAGATGGCTGTCCTTAAAATTTCCCAGGACATGCTGGGAAGGAGAGATGTACCAGGAAGATACTCAGCCAATAGCCGTTGAAGCAGTTCTTACCGGCTTCAGTCAGTCTTTTGGTGGTGGTGGTGGTGGTGGGGTAAGCACATTCACTTGCTGAGCTATCTTGTGGTCTTCAACTTAGTCATTAAGTATCTGTCTACCAGCTATAGAGCCCAGAGATGTTCACTGAGTTTACACAATGAAAAGAACCAAAATAAGTAAAACAAAGAGCTAAAGGAAGCTTGTAGGCTACTACTGGCTACAATGTATATAAATGCAGAACATTTACAAGGGTTGAATTATTTTGGTTATTCTTTGAGTGATGGAAGTAGGGTTACTGAAGCCAGGCTTAAGCAAACATTGTATCAATGAGCTAAAGCTGCCGCCTTTCCATTTTTCCCCCCCCATTTTCGTGTTTTTTGTTTTGTTTTGTTTTGTTTTTTGAGATAAGGTCTTTCTATGAAGCCCTGGATGTCCTGGAATTAGTTCCCTATGTCAACCAGACTGGTCTGGAACTCAGAGATCTGCCTGCCTCTGCTTCCTGAGATTAAAGGTGTGTGCCACCACAGCTTCTGAGTGACCCTTTTTTTTTTTGCGCGGGGGGGGGGGGGGGGGGTAGGAGCTACAGATTCTCATTGGACTGTATAGACATTTTTTTTGGGTCACCAGCTCACACACACACACACACACACACACACACAAAACCTGAAAGGAGGCTTACTATGAAATTATGCTCAGCCTATAGCTTAGGCTTCTCCCACTAGCTCTTATAACTTAAATTAACCCATTTATCTGTGTTTTGCCTTGTGGCTTTTTACCTCTCTTCCATCTTGTACTTCCTGTTTCTTCTCTGTGTCCTCTGGTGTCTTTCCCACTCCCAGATTCATCATCTCTTTTCTCTCTGCCCAGAAGTTTTGCCTAATTTCTTCCTGTCTAGCCATTCATCTCTTTATTAAACCAATCAGAATCACAGGGTACAAAAAGATTATTCCATGTCAGGACTGGTCTCCAAGAGCAGTGGAGAAAGCTGTAGTCTATGTCTACTGTACATCAAGTGCTAGCAGGAATTTAACCCAGCTTTAAGGCCATGTGTGGAAGGTGTAGATTTTGAATTTCACATGCCATTTCCTGGAGCTGACTATGTCAACTTGACATTATTGTATTGAGGAGAACAAAGAGCCTCTAAAACCTGACCCTTAGGAAGGTGCCATCCCTAAGTATTATCGAACTGTGACACAATGATGGATGTAGTAAGTTTAGAAACTTCATAGCCTATGAAGAGAACAGAAGCCACAGTTATGCTAAAACAAACCTGCCCACTGGAGAATTCGGTATTCCTCCTTAACCAGCATGTAATCCCAACAATTGCTTCTTTCCTTTTTGGTTTTTTGAGACAGGGTTTCTCTGTGTAGCCCTGACTGTCCTGGAATTGGCCCCTAACTCAGAAATTCACCTGCTTCTGCCTCCAGAGTGCTGGGATTAAAGGCACGAACCACCACCACCAAATTCCTTTCTTTTCTTATATAAGTTTTTTTTTTAACTTTATCTTTATTCCATGTGCACTGGTGTTTTGCCTGCATGCATGTCTGTGTGAAGGTGTCAGATCCCCTGGAACTGGAGTAAGAGACAGTTGTGAGCTGCCGTGTGGGTGCTGGGAATTGAGCCTGGGTCCTCTGGAAGAGAAGTCAGTGCTCTTAACCAATGAACTAACTCTCCAGCTCCTCTTATCCTTCATTTAATTTTCATCTCTCTCTCTCTCTCTCTCTCTCTCTCTCTCTCTCTCGATCTCTCTCTGTGTGTGTGTGTGTGTGTGTGTGAGAGAGAGAGAGAGAGAGAGAGATTAGCATGTGCTATGACAGCCAATTCTCTTCTTCTACCTTCATGATGGTTCCAAGAATCAAGCTCAGTTCAGATGATTGTCTGGCCAGCTCTTTACCCACTGAGCCATCTCCGTGGCCCCCATGTTTAAGTGTTCTTTTGGGATCTAGATGTTGTATTGCACGCCTTTAATTCTAGCACTCACAAGGCAGAGACGTGGATTTCTGTGAGTTGGAAGCAGGCCAAGGCTGTATAGCTAGTTCCAGGCCATGTATGTGTTGGTGTGTTCATGTAAGTGCAGGTGCCCTCCAAGGCTCTGGTGTTGGAGTTGACAGGCAGTTGTGAGCTGCCCTAAAATGGATTGAACTCAGGTCCTCTACAAGAGTACTAGGTGCTCTTAATTGCTGAGCCATCTCTTCAGCCCTCTCTTTACTTTTTTTTTTTCTGAAACAGGATTTCTCCATGTAGAAGTATTCTGGAACTAGCTCTTGTAGTCAAGGCTGGCCTTGAACTCACAGAGATCCGCCTGCCTCTGCCTCCTGAGTTCTGGGATTAATGGCGTGCACCACCAACGCCCAGAATAAGTCCCCTCTTTCCTTTTTTCACATAGGGTCTCATGTAGTCCTGGCTGGCTTTTAATAAACACCTAATCCTCAACCTAAGTGAGTTGGGATTAACAGCCAGAACCACCACACCGTGCCTAATTCATCATTTTCCAAGACTGCTGTGTGCCAGTTTCTTAACATAGGTCTCACAAATCTAGTAAGTAGGAGGAAACAATGTCAGGGTTTCCATAATGACCAGAAGCCATCGTGGGCTCAGGAACTAGAACTCAGGTTGTCACTGGTCTTTACTCCCATCATCCAAGCAAGTTCAGGCGATGCCTCTTCCTAAGAGAGAGAGAGGTGGAGCTTAGGGCACGAGAGGCCTTCGGGGACACCCCTAGAACTAGTGTCCCTCACTTAGCATAGTATGTCTCACCTTAAGAATGTCACTTGAAGCCGGGCGTTGGTGGCACACGCCTTTAATCCCAGCACTTGGGAGGCAGAGGCAGGCGGATCTCTGTGAGTTCGAGGCCAGCCTGGTCTCCAGAGCGAGTGCCAGGACAGGCTCCAAAGCTACACAGAGAAACCCTGTCTCAAAAAAAAAAAAAAAAAAAAAAAAAAGAATGTCATTTGAACTAGAAAACAGGACTGGACTGCTTTCTGCAATTGAAGACAAGATGGTTGGAAATGTATTGTTGTTACTTTTGTTTCTAGTGTTTCAAATTGCCTTGGAAGCAGACACAGAGCAATCTGGATTGCTCTTTACCAAAATTACAATACTGTTAAGTTACTTTAAATTACACGATTTCTTGTTGTATGGGTGTGCCACAGCTTTTAGGTGGATATCAAATAATTTACAGGAGTCAGCTCTTTCCTTTCACTCCAAGGGTCCCAGGATGGCCCCTGGGGTCTCTGTGGGACCCTGGACCCAAGCACTGACACCACCGTCAGGTGTAGATGAGGGTGTGGCTCGCGGAACGGGACAGAGTGAGCCCGAATTTGGCTAGCGGATTTCAGCGCCTCTGCCGGGACACAAGGCCAGGGGGCGTGTCCGGAGGCGTGGCTCTGGGCTGGGTGTGTCGGGGGCGTGGCCTGCTGCCGGTGTCGGAGCAGGGCGGATCGCGGAGATGTTGTGGGCGTGGTCTGGCGCGGGGGCAGGTCCTGAGGCCGTCCCCACACGCCCCCCAGCGGAGGCCCGGAAGGGACCATTCGCGCTTCCGTCTCCGCCGGGGCCGCACAGAGGGCGGAGTTGCGGCCCGAGGACGCAACGCGAGCCCAGTTCCGGCGAGGAGGCCGCGCCAGTGACAGCGATGGCGGCGGAGTCGGCGCTCCAAGTTGTGGAGAAGCTGCAGGCGCGCCTGGCCGCGAAC